TTTATTGTCATTACTTAATTAAAAAAAAATGGGTCAACTTTCATATGCAAAATTTATTCCCTAAAACATACGCATATTCAAGCATGATAAACTAAGCATTACCAATCAACAATACTCAATCATCCATATGGCAGGTAAGAGACTATTTTGTACATAAATAACAGTGATGAAATATGTTCGTATTTTCTCCGCTGACACAACTCTCAGACTTGTAACCCACAAGTATAAATGTATACAAACAAGCTATGTGCTCACAGCCAAGAAGTGTTCTTCTATGAGCATGTAATGGTGTCATCATTGTCGTCACAACAGTGTGGAAATTAAAGCGGGGGAGTTGTCACCTGCGCTGTGTTTTTAGCGCTGATTGTTATCATTGGTTGGGACTCAATTATCGCACATGCGCAGGTGACGACCCTTCCGCTTGAAATCATAGTTGTCATGTTCAAATTTGAGATAAATAAAATATTTTACTTGAATTGTACACATGTACATCACTATGGGGGGGCATTAACAAACATGGCGCTGCACATGAAAGACCACTGCCCTTTAAGTAACTGTATTGAAAACGAGATACCATTGGTATGTTTAGAAATGTATGAAATGAATATTCCTGCAATGAATATTCTACACAAAGGATGCAGAAAAAGGGGGAGGGGCACAATTAGTCAGAATCATGGAAATCTCTTCAGTATGCAAATTAGTCATTATCAGTCTTAGCATTAAAACAAATAAGGAAGACATCAGAGAGGTAAAAGCGCAGGAGGAATCTGGCCTCCAAATCAGAGTTTATGATTTCTAAGAGCGACCTTCCATCAATGATTGAGCTCTTACTATTGGACTATGTTCAAAAGTATGCATCAAATAACAAATTTAATCTGTTATGTAAAAAACATCATTTATTATCGAGCTTGACATAAAAAATATCAAATGATGTAAACTATAAAACATTTCAGTACAAAAATGTGCCATTCAATATAAACAATTTAAAAAGAAAATACATGCTTTAAATTGGATTCTCAAAGTAGTGTTGTTGCTAAGCTTATATGCACGCAACACCAATAGATGTGCTTACATTTAGCTAGTTGCCATGGTTACAAAAACATTTAGCATATTTTGTGTCAAATTCATTCATTTCACTGTGTAGCAGTAAATTATGAAAACAAAAATTCAAGAGACCCTTAAATATTAAAGCGCGGTGGTCGTCGCGCAGCGCGTGTTCGAATTTCTTGTAAAGAAACAATGTATTTTACACGCGTTGTATACGTCGCTATGTGTCCCATATCAAACAAGACGCGGCACAACGACTGTCGCCCTTTAAATTAAATTCTTAAAGACCCCCATATAAAAATGACCATATTTGTGGTCAAAATGGAATTATATAAAAGAAAATTTCTTTGCCAGTCTACAGTAAAAATGCTTGATATTATATAACAGCTTGTACAGAAGAACTTTTATGTTTTGATGATTATTATTTCACCACATAACACATTTAAAACAAAAAATATTGCAATGCTCTACTCAAAAACAAATATAATAAAATTCCGAATTGAGGAGCACACTAGCAAAACAACAATTCTTGTTAACAAATTAAAGAGACAATGAAAAGAACTCTGAATATTTTTTTATCATATCAAAATAATTTTAATTTGAAAATGAGATATAATAAAAATTGAGGGAACATTTACATAATTTTATCGATAATGCTATGTTTACAGCATTTTTTATTTTACGATAAATTTTACACCACTGTAATTTCTCAAGATACCATTTTAAACAAAATGATGCTCAAACCATACTAAAAATATTCAAAGTTATTTGCACTGCCACTTTATACATTTTGTGATGTTTCCAGCACAAACCCTGGCATTTTCCGCAAATAGTCTCCTTATATCTGCTTATCCCCATACACCAGTCTTTGTGTCAAGACATGTTCAATAGTGGTCCAATGCAATGCATACAACATATGTAAAATATGATTGATGGTTTTTGGGTTTAACATCAAGCCAAAAAAGTTTAACCCTTCAAAACACCATACTTGTTTCTATCGAACATGTATTGTGTACGTTTACACAAATTTCTTCATTAATTTAGCACCTGCTGCCAAAAAAATGCATTAGCTACAAGGTTACATTAGATCATATCGATATTTGGTAAAAATGTTTGGGGGCAGCAGCCAAGCGCTTAAAAATAGTATGCACATTGTGCGAGTCATTTAATCTTTTACGTCAGTTGTTTTTAAAATTTTTGTATGAATTTTAAAAAAAAATGTCAGAAAAATTGTGAAAATGTGTTCATGACAAACTAAAACATCAATTTTAAAATGAAGAAATGTGTACATATATGGAATTTAAAAAAAAATGAATTCATCAGATTTCTGTTATCAACTAGTAATAACTACTAGTTCATACTGGTTATAAAACAACAGTCACATTTATTTCTCAATTGTGTTGTACAAAACTATTCTGTAATTTGTATTATTTGCAGAACCATTATTTACTATATGGCTTACCATATCTGTCATAGAAAGCAAGGTTAAAGTCCATCATAACAAGATTGTAATATTTATAGTGAAATATACTCTATCACACTTTTACAAAGTAATTCTATGCAAATTTTCATTCAATTATATAATTATACACCATATGAAATCTGCTATGACAAAAATGACATATTTGAAGATTTTGCGTCGACTGACGTCAACCTAAGACAATATATCATGTGATTGTGTATTTATTACATACACACTCCCACAGTACAGCACAATGGAACTAGTGTTGGAGCGGCGGAGTCGTCACCTGCGCATGCGTCAGATGGCCATAGCACGTCATTGTTTACAAACAAGAGTCTACCCATGAGCCTTTGCATTTGCAATTTAAGCGCGTGTTGTTATCGGCGCTTGGGACTCAATTCCTGCACAGGTGGCAACCCTCCTGCTTTAAATTAACGACTACAAATATATCAATGAGTTCACGCTGTATGCTAATTTTGTTGACGCCGCAGTGTTCCATTTCATACGAAAACCTTGCATACGATGTGTGGTAATTCCGCTCGTTAATCATGTTTTCTAAGATTTGCTGCGATTATTTTCAACTTCAATGATTTTTTGGAGGTTCTGAATAACAATTTGGAAAATACACATTTGAGCTCACCAAAATGAACTTTAGTTACCAAAATGTGTAGTTATCGGACTGTACAAAAAGATAACTGACTAGTATAAGCACTTTGAAATAACAATACTATGAATGAGAAATATGCATGTTTTTTTGCTCAATTCCAATGGCAGGCCAAAAAACATCCACAAGATGCAAAATGCAACTTTTATTATTTTCACACAAAGACACATGCTTTGTTTACAGCAATAATTATTGTCTTGTCTATGTTTGTTTTAGACTAGAAATCAATTTGTCACATGACTTTTGTGCCAAATGAATAAAAATCTGAAAAACAAAATGGCTACCTGTGAACTTTTGATATGCTACCTAAAATCTTGGTCAATAATTAATAATTTATGCTAATTTCTGGTGAAATTACATCTCAACAGCAAATAAATATGCATATTGGGACATTTATGGCAAATAAATATTGGGACATTTACGGCAATATCAATGAAATCTGGATAAAGGTATGGAAGAATTAGGTACAGTGTATGTATTTTGGAAATATTTTCTTCACAGATGCCAGAATACAAATTATTTATTCACATTCTTTATACATTATGCAGTTATTGTGGACATGTTTCTCTTCATCCTTAAGAATTATTTTATTTCTAAAATCTTTTAACCCAGCACAAGCCAACTCACTCATCATGGAAGTAGAAAGCAGTGGGTTCAAAGGGTATAAGATGTTAAAATTTGCATACACTTAAAGAATATAAAAAAATATAGTGTTATGAAATGTAAATTTTTTTTAAGCAGGTAAAATATATTGCTAATATATACATATATTCGGGGAAAATAAGTAATTTTTATAAATTTTGTTTATAAGAAATTTATACAATCTTGATTGAGTTAGGCAAACATTAATTCTGCACCAGAATTATGTAAAAGAATTTTTCATTGTTAATTTAGCTACAGGTGTAGAGATTAAGAATTAAATTCTGAATTATAACTTTAGAAATCATAGGGTTGTAAGGAGAATGTGTTTTCTGATTTTTTTTTGGATGAATTTACTGTTGATATGTAGAATTTGTTTTTGTCAGATTTGTATTTTGGTTTTCTCTTGTTAATTTTCTACAACCCCCCCCCCCTCCCCAAGTGTTTCTCCACCACCCCTTGATGGAAACATTTGTCTGGGTATTATAAGGAGATATCTGCCAAGGCGGAAATTGTTACCGAATTGTACATGTATACACGGATGTCAACAAGACCATGTTTATTTTATAAATAATTATAAACCCATTTAAAATCAGTCTCATAAAAATTAGCTTAACTGGTCCCTCTTCCATTTCACAGCGTGATCACACACAAATTAGAGTAGCCGATTGATCCAACAAGTCTGCGACATCACTTCCTGTGCAACTGCAACTTGAGTTTGTAAATATTGAGGTTTATAAATGATTTACAACATACTAGTACCGTACATGCCTTTGTTAACGCCAGAGTAGTAAACTGTTTTAATGCACAGATACAGCATTTTACTTTTAAATTAAGGCACTTAACCTTTTCATACTTGAGACTTTCTTTAAATTTGTCTGCACTTTTTTTCCTACATTCGTCAATATTTCTGGGAATGAACCCTAATTTCGGAGCCAACAGACAAAATTTGAATCTATTTTCAATTTTTACTCAAAAAATGTGACTATTTTTGTCCCAATCTTCTGAAGAAAAGTGCAGACTATAAATGAGAGTATTGTGAATTTGTGATGAAAAGAGGGAACTGGTGTTGAAAAGGTTAACATTGGTAATCTTAGTCAATATGTAACAGTTAATTTGTGTAAATAGTATAGTTTGGGTAATTTTTGTACTAAATGGTTTAAATTTCTTGCAATTTAATTTAAATATTCATTTCTTAGCTGTTCTTGGCCTTCTTTTCCTGCGTGATTTTGGTCTGGAATTCATTTTCACAATATTGACATCGCACAGTTTGGTGATTGAGTTTTTTCTCTGTGATGTGTAGCTCTTTCCGGGAATCACAGCATCTCGTCCCTTTGGACGGTGTGCTGTGGTTGATTTCGCAGTAGATGGACGTGAAAATGTTTTGGTGGATGTTGGAGTTGAAGAGCGACTTGTGGCATGACTCGGTAATATGACAATTTGTTGTGCTGATTGAACAGCCCCGTTCATTCTGCTACAAGATCCTAATGATTTTGGTTCCACGTTATACAGTTCGGACAAACTAAAAGTAGCATAAGCTGACTTGGGTCGACCAAGTACTGTATTGTTTGCATTGATTGTATTAGCTCTAGTTGATTTCCTTGTACAACTATGACAAGACTTGGGTCTTGTTCTCAACATTTCATCATCACTATCAGATCGTGGTTGCCGTACAAAATGATGATAACCGTACTCTGTACATGAACCATTGCACGTCTTTTTTTTACAATGTAAACATCCTTTTGCCGACTGCACACGCTTCGATGGGCAGTCCCCAGCACATGCCGGCTGCATACAGTCTTCAGCACAGTTTCTGCTCCGAAATCTAGTACTGGGGCCTGCGCTCTGCGCCCTTTCCATACCATTCTTCTGCTTACTATTACTACTTTTTTTTAGTTTATTTTGTTTATCGTTTTCCCAGTTTATAGTTAACCACTGCAACCTTTCCAACTCAATTAGTTTGTCCATTATTACCTCTTCATCTCCTTCCGGTTTGTCTTCGATAACATCTTTCCAATCATCCTCAAGACAAGATAGGTAAAACAAATCCATATTGCAAAAAGGTACGGACAATAACTCACTGAATTCATCATCATCCTCATCTTCTATATTTGATTCATTGTAATCCACATCGTCATCTTCTAGATCAGATGGAATGATGAAATCTTGTACTTTATATTGCATCTTCTGCCTCTCGTACCTCTCGTCATCCTCATTATTATCTTCTTGTTTCTCTGCAGCATCAGACTTCTCACTCTCTGTGTCAGACCATGTGCTAGGCTTAACTGTCCTAAAGGGCCCATCAGGTATGTCATAATAGGGTGAAGGTGTGTCAAGCTCCCCTAACTCACTCACAATTTCATGGGACAATCTGTCGTATTCATACGAAGACGTTGAGGATCTTGTGCTATAGTACGATAGCGTTGAATGCGGCCGTTGTGACAAGGAAGATTGTGATCTTGCCGAACCTGTCCTAGGCAACCTTTAAAACACAAATTGAATGACAATATTATTTTAGGTGAATGAATGAATGAATGGATGAATGAATGAACATAAATATTTATTGTCACTATCTCAAATTTGAAAGCAGTCAGCAAATTCATGTACGAAGTGAACAATTTTGATTGTTTTTGACAATGTTTAAATAGTTCCGTTTTATATTTTATCAAGTTAAAAACAATAATAAAGCATGATCAATTACCTAAAAAAATTATTATTTTGGAAGTCACGTTTCATAAATATGTAAACAGAGATGAACATATGCCCTGGAATTACTTATATATACCTATATGTTATTTAAAGCACACTACAATATTCATAACATTCAAACATATACTGCGATGAATGCTGTCGCAACAATGTCTATTTAGAAATAAATGATACAATATCAAAAATTGTTTTTAAACAAGTTATCCACATCGCCAATTTAGTAATTTTTTAGACAAATATTATTGGATTGTATTATAAAATTTGGTGCAGATGTGAAAAATCATCTACTGTCTGTGTGGTAGCATTGTACCATGAATGTTACCCATAAAGTGAATTATTTTGACAGATTGATCTTTAAGGCCAAATCCCCCAAAAAAGAAAATCAAAAAGCAATTTTTTTTTATATGCATAATGCACAAGAAACTTATATGTTGAAGCGAGAAGGTTGTCACCTACGCACATGCAGGAATTGAGTCCCAAACGCAGAGGCTCATGGGTAGACGCTTGTTTGTAAACAATGACATGCTATGGCCATTTGACGCATGCACAGACAAACCACTCCCCCGCTTTAAAAGAAAGTATTAGGAATGATTTTTAGAATGGAATTACACCAAATAGGAAAATCATATCCTTTGTCATCAGAATAAAATCAAATCTCATATTTCCATATGTGGCAACAGCACCAGCATTAAATGAACCTAATAGTAATGTCATACCACATTCTCTCTCTCTCAAAGAAAGATAAATAAATTCACAAGTGATGTTACAAGCGATGAATCAATGAAGCAAGTTAGTTTTGGGCACAGTCCATAGAGGGACTGTGTTTTGGGCTTCTGTTTTTTATTTTTGACGATTGATGACTATTTGGGTATTAAAAAAAGACTATATAATTAGTATTTTCAATTATTTTATTCAATCTCCATATTTCAATAACATATTTGCTCAATTAATATTGATGCACTTAAATTATAATGACAGTATGTATCTATGGTCAAAATAAGTCATATTTTAATGATCCAGATTTATATGCACTTTAATTTTAATAGAACAAGTACCTGGTGTTTTCAATGTTCTTTATAAAAGGTTATAAAAATTACACAACACTACAGAATCCGGATAAGCTGAGTACCCATGTCATTTACAGGGAAACAGAGACATTGTGATTTCCTGATAACTACCTCACACTCTGATGTCCATTTTGAAATGGATTAATAGAATACTACAGACCCTGAAACAAATTTAATTTTCCATTTTTTTTCAAATCTGCTAGGAAATGATTTAATTGTATTTACTTGCAAAATATACAGTGAATTACGTCAACAAAGACTCCATATCGATAGTGTGGGAAACTGGTAAACAAAATATAGCAAGCGCTGACGAATCTGCCTGAAACTCATCTAGCGTGATGAGTTGACAACGCTTCTCGCGCTCTTTAGTCCATGGAAATTAATTATACCAATACAAATCAATGACACATTCCAATTCATTGACAATCAAACCCAACAGTGTTACCATGGAAATCTGTACACATTAGAGTCTGTCAATGGTTGCCAAGTAGATAGTCTATAAGCTACTTCACATGTCTCAGTGCGTTATTGATTGTCAGCATGATATCGACAATATTGCAGGAAATAATACTTCCCCTATTTCATGCTCGTTCATTTTAATCATGCTGATTATTTTTGCAACAGAACTCCGCTTCACATTGAAAATTAGTCTCACAATAACCAAAGAAATGGACGACATGCAAGGCGAAAAATAGAATTCTGAAAATTATATTACCACGTAGTATTTAAAAAATAAGTTTTACAAATAAATACAAAACCAACTGAGTAACTTGTTTGTAGGCATGTGAATCATTGGAATGCTTTAATTAGAATATAGTTTAACCAGATTCATATTTCCAATAGTGCACTTTTTGCTTTTGTTTATTGACAATAAATATATATACATGCTGCTGTTATTTCCCTGAGTGCAGGTGCTAATAATACAGAAAATAAATACTTATATCATGATTTTCTCTGATTTATAAAGAATTTGTCTGTGCCGAAATGTACTAAAAAAAATTTATTTTAATGAGTTAATTATTATTTATGACTATGGCTGTCCATGAAACGGACATACTTCACAGATAATATTAAAGTCACACAGTAAACGTACTGTGTTGTACATGTCATGTTTTAAGTAATATATTTCCATGCGATTAAAGACAAAGCACTCACAGGTTTTTCCTGGATAATATCAAATGGTATTGTAATGTTTATTGCTTTAAAATTGTTAATTTTTTTTTAGTTCAATGGGTGAAATATATATATATATATTTTCAAATTGAGTAAATAATATTTTATATGTTATTTAGCGAGTGTACAGAAATATGCGTATCTGTATTGTTATGCATTTGATAGCATTCCAGGATGGGCGTGTTCGCATATCACACAGGTATTGCATGACAGCCCAATTTTCAAACATTTAATAACCCCCTCGTCTCAATAAAAAGGAACGCCAATCAACACTCCAATTAAAAAATCACTTTTACAACAGTCTCATTTTCCAGTGGATTTAGCATTGTTGTGCTGAATGGAGCTAAATGTAATTCACTTGTTGAATCAAGCGTAACATTATTGGTGTTTGATTTGGGGTAATAATAGTTCTCTAGTATTTGACTGGGGACAATAGCTCAGTGTGAAAACCATTGAGGTCACGGAGAAGTTCTGTATATCTCAACAACAAGGTATTGTCAAGGGATGGGTGTGCTCTCAATTGTAATAAACGGTCAGACCCAGGGCAAATTAAATCAAGTATTTTACATCGTGTATATTACCATACTGCCAGCAATGCTGTCAAATGAAAGAAATATTTCCGTTTATAGGACTCCCTAAGTAAACGGTATCAGAGTCCCCAAAGACTAGATATTAATAACTGTTCATTAACAAGGGATACAATGTGACCAATTGTTGCTAAGTGTTCCTAATTTGTACTTTGAAATACAGGTCAAAAGATCACACACAATACAAATAGCAGTTGAACTGTTGTTATTCAATTTAATACATTGAGAGAGTACTAATTGTGTTTTTAAAAAAAAGTTGTATTTGTAAATTCAGAAAGAAATATTTTCTTAATATCAGTCTATGGGTCTATAAGTTTTGAATTAACTTAGCCAGTAAGAGACGACTTTGAAAAAATAAAAAAAAATTGAGTTTATGGACACACTTGAGAAGCTGGGGGTGATCTATCAAGCTGTAAAAGAGGGAGGAGAAGCAAGCAAAACAGATGAACGAGGCAAACAATTGGCATAGTCCCTTCAATGTACAATTTTGGCCAGTAATTTTCGGGGTTTGATGACTTGTGGGTACTCACAATGACACTGATTAGAATCCTAGTTTGGGCTTTATTATTTTCTTTCTCTCATATTTTTTTTAAATATGTGTGTAATTATTTATTTTTACCATTAACTTTCTTTTACTTTATTTTATTTGAATTTATTAGTTAGATTTTTTAAAGTTTTGGTGATTGTGAAAGCCCACAAAGTGATATCTAAAGTAGTACAAAATAAGATGTACGTAAAAACAATAAAATCAATTAAAAAATAATAAAATTTAAAGTAAAATTAAAATCAAATTCATACATCAGATTTTAATCAGATTGTCAGGATGACAACATTTCATGGAAGTGCTTGTGACTGGAATGTTCATTGCCATACTATTTTGCAATTAATATTTATGAAATTACAGTAGATTATAATATTCAAATTTACAAAGAAATAAGAAAAACAAAATAAAATTATAAAATACATGAAAGCAAAATCAATGTACAAAGCAATCATGTTGAATTTGTTTGACTCAAAATAAAGGACCACTCATACCACTAGACCACTACAAACATGTCCACCAATGGCTGCTCACAGGCATACCGGCAATTTTCCATACTCTAACAGTAAAAATAACTTACCTTGCCATTGGGTTTGCTTGTCGAGACTGGACAGTGATATCATTAGATGTGTCAAGCTGATAGCGCTCATATGATGGCCTGGTGGAGCGCAAACTTGACGCTAATTTGCTGCTATGAATGCTGGGAGACGTCTTCTCGCTACCCATGTAGTGTTTCTGTGTAAGAAGGAAATAAAACACGATAAATTAAGCGACAAGATCTGCGAAACAAACATGTGTGTTTGATTGGCTGATCGCAAGATACTGTACGACACGCTGAACATAGCAGTGCATAGTCGCAATATTTCACAACGGCTCATGCCGATAAGTTGTCATAGCGACCTTCCTGTCATGAATCATGTTTGCTTGTATTCAATCTTAGATCAATGTATTAATATATATATATATTGCCATGTGATGAAAGTCCTGCTGATTGCAGAAAACAGCCCCTCCCCCTTCTGCCACTATTTATACAAAACGTATAGTGTCCCATAGCTTGGGGGGATGACATGTCCCAAATTTTGTTTCAGTGTCTAAATTATTTTTAATTAAAAGTAAATTTGCATCAATCATAAATATCAGTTAATAAAACCATAATTAAAAAATCAAGAACTGATATCGACAAAAACATATCTAGTATACCTTGTCTGTGATTTTAAAATCAATAATGTTTACACTAGATATATCAGTCTGAGTCAACATGATTTTGATAAAGCTCGCTTCTTATCAAGACATGAGTACAAAGTTTTCCATATTCAAATTAGACAAGTTTATTTTTAACACATTGTAGGTGCCACAGCGATGATCAATACATTCCTGTGTTACACATTGACGGGAATATGCCCGCAGAGATCTTGTAGTAGTTACCATGCCAACAGCTTGACTGTGTTGACTATACCTGTGAACCACAGTTATAATTTTGAGTGTATTTAAAATATGAAACTTAATTGCTGGTGCATGTGATCATTTTATTACTACGGTAACAGTGTAACAAAGTTTTTTTTATGAAATTTTATACAATATAACTAACAATTGTTTAATATTTAATAATCTTTATTTATACAATGTTGTGTTTGTAGTATGGTATAAATATGTACTTTTTGAGCATAGAAGAATTATATTACATGCATAATTTATTGTCTAATAAAATTTCTAATTAAAATATATTTATTGAATTCCCCCTTCTCTCCCCTGTCCAAACATCACACTTTATACATCAGTTCTCGACTTCAAAAGAAAACACACCTTGAAAATATACACAAAAGAAAATAAAACTCACCCTGAAACCATTACTGCGGAATTTATTTATCATCATAGTGTTGACGTCTTTGACTTGTCTGGAAAGTTTCTTGAAAGTGTCCTGTATGAAGAGGTAGAAACTTTAAGGATAAGTACTACTTGTAGTTTGAGCGTAACCGTAGCTCGAAACCGAACCCAGTTTTGCAGACTACCTACTGGCCGCTTATGGTATTTGTGTTTTCTGTTTGGTTGAACAATTTACGACTTAAAAGTTTCATTCAAAACTGTAAGGATGCCTGTGGGAGTATTTTCAACGAAAGTTCACAAAATACAAACAGTGTCTCAATACCCCCTTCAGCAACTCTGATCATTCCACTACATAGATTAACATCTACCATGTCTAATGTTCAGCAAAACATTCTATGCAGAAACACGAATATTTAAGTTCCACATGGTTACTTGTATATCCCCCGCAGGGTTAAGTATTAACCGGTCAATTCAACATGCAATTGATATATTCCAATTCAACAAGAAAAAATCTATCAGGCCGACTGCCTGCCTAAGCTATTCATAAATCCATCGACACAATACAACACTTCGTACTCAGTATCAGCTCAACACTCAAAAGCGTTGCGCTTTCATACTATCTTTTCAGAACGAAACACAAAATGAAATTTAAAGAGGTAGTTTTACTCATCATAAGTATAATTATGTTGTTATATAGTGGCTTGGGGGAGAGAGTGATATCTGGGTGTAAATTAAAACAAGTGATTGTGGTGTAAATCAAAATAGTTAAACATCCCATTGCCCATGTCAATATGGTGAAGCCATTAGTGGCAGATTTGTATGTAAATAAAGCACTGAATACTGAAAGCCATTTAGAATAGAGAAAACTCACCTGTGTAATTTTGTACAACGACAAATCTGTTTTTAAGAAAATAAAAGGAGGATAAATTACAAAAAGTTCCAATTTTGTGATTATCTATGTTCCTAATCACTGGATTGATTCAATTATTTTTGCATTCAATTAACTGACAGTGAAGTAAATAATTATAGTAACATTAAATAGTACCGCCATATACTGTAATATTGTGTCTCTTAACGTCGATGTGAAGGTAAAGTACAACGAAGCTAAATAATATCTCACCAGTGTGGCTATCTTCTTCGCCTAGCTGGCCATCGCTTCGCTGTGTCCAAGATCTCCACCTCAGCGTGTCCTTGCAAAAAAAAATATACCTTTTTTTAATAAAGCCGTCGAACTTTCACCTTTATCACACTTCGCAAAATGCTCATCTAATAAGGTTACTTGATTCACAGAGTGACAATGTATTCATAAGGTTCGGTAGAGAGTAATAAAAGCGAGACGTGGAAGAGTTCGGCATTACCCGGTCTAAGGTGTTAGAGCTGAGACCGTGACAAGGTGTCGGTGGTCGAGACATCAACTCGGCACGTTCTTCGGTCGATAACCACCCAGTCCGCCTGAATTGTGCGCTGTTACTTCGGTGGTTCAACTGTCTCCGCTTGTCTCTGAAGAACATGACATAAACATACATAGTGATTATACAACAATAGCTGAAAGTCGTGAAGAATCGTGAAACAACTCGAAAAACATGACACTTACCCTTGAAACCCTCGGCGTGACGGCGATCGAGCTGGGTCGGGGACCGGCCAGTTTTGACTGTAGACGGCTGTCAGAAGCGTCTGGCCGGTCATCGCGTTCTCTGGGCCCATGTTGTCTTGGGAGATGTGATCTGACAAGCAGCGTTTAACGTGAGAATATTATCGACAACATGACAGTAGTTCAACTAGCTAGCCAATATTGCACTCAACCGACGATAAATGTCCTCTCTAGGAGCGTTCGCAATGGTCTTGTGGTATGTGACAACAGAACCCATTGTTATGTAAATTAGGCGGTAATATTAGGTGGCACCCAAGGAACACACTACGATCGAACCGTATCCAGGGCCACTTGTTTTGGTTTCGTGCCTGTGAAAAACAATTCAACTCACCGCATATTTTTCTCTCCAATTACTTTTCATGAAATATCGGAACAGATAATTCCCAACAATAAAAAATACTCGTCCTGAGTATCAGATGTGGGCGGTTAGAAGCCATATGTAACTACGTGCTTATCGTACTACCAGACATATTTATTTCCTCGTCTCATTTTTCCTTGTTTATTTTTTTTAATCCTGTTAACCTTTACAATATTCAATGGGTATTCGTGAGAAGAGGTTTAATATATCCGCTTTTCAACTTTTAAAAAAAAAAAAAAAACGTGCGTTTGCATATTTTACTCGGGAATTTACTTAGTGTCTGAGCCTAATTGACGGAACCTCGTACTGTTGATTATGTGAGAATACATATGTTCGTGTGTTGTATCATGTTGTTGAGTAGTTTGGGTGATTTGAAACACGTACGTATACGGTATGTCTGCTAAGCTTTGAGAGAATATATTAATCTATTAACGCTATTTAGAGAAGTAATCGCAGTTTCTTCGCAGTTCACATCGGGTAGAAGTCTACTCATATTTTTTTTGAGAAAGTTAGTCACAAATCGTTTATTGGTTTATTATGTAAAATCATGAAGTTATTGTCCCATGACACCATGAAATAGCGTTTTGGGGTTATAGTGACTTAACTAATATTTTTTTAAAACCCAGGTTTTTGAAGTAAGTCAGGACAACACAAAGTACCCTACCATTAACAATATATGATTTTTCCAGCCTATGCCACCAGCCTACAATTTGAGATATGGCATAATATCTTTGCCATAGGAACCTATGGTAAAAGCATTATAATACTGACAAAATGGACACTTATTACTGAAATACGACCAGTATTTTATTGAAAATTAACCTGGTGACCCCCAACTTTTTTCAAGTCGATATCCTTAGACTAGTATTGCCCGAGAGTACACTTTCTTTCAAAATGAAAGAATTGCATTTACATTTATAAGCTTCTACTTTAAATAAATTAATGTAGGGAACTTGAGTAATTATTTCTACTGTAAAATAATGAAATGTCTCACGGTGCATGGTATAGGGAGAAATTATTGTTTTGTTGTCATTAGATGGCGCTATAACAGTCTATTGGTTAATAAATGAGCAGCGTGACCACACAGTATATATTGGTAGTTAGTGTTGTTATAAGGTGGGGTGTAAACAAAACTACAAATATTACAGTGTATGCTTTATTCTCTCTCATATATGTGTCATGCGTGCATAAATTTACAAATTAGATTATTTTTCTTTTTCTGCAATTTAATATCTCCATCGCTTTTGATTTGAGTTGAGACATCCACTAATATATGTGAATTCACTTTCAGACTTTTTGTCACTTTTTTTTTTTCAAGCTGGAAATCATGCACAGGTAAACTATGGTCTCCCAGCAACATCGTCCATGTAAAAAAAAATTGCCAGCATTTTTCAGAAAATACACGTGCACTAACACTTAGAGTGGGTGCAAAGATGCTTGAACATTTTTTTCATTGATGATTTTTTTGTTGAGGAAAGAGATTAAAAGAATATTACAATAGATCTTCATCTTTGATTTAACGCATACAATTGCCGGAAATAACCAACAACATAATTATTAGTTTTGTGATTGTGAAAAAAAATGTAAGCTAATCATATTTAGGTGATTGCCTCTGCTATCCATTACATTATATTTTGTTCATCATTGCGTAAAATCTTTCGTTTGCGTGCAATATTTTGCAGAGTTTAACCATTAGAGGGCGCTGTTAAAATTTAAAAACGCCGTAGACTGTCACATGGGGGCGCTATTTCACTGATAAACAATTTCCTGTTTTTATCAAGATGCAATATAAAACAAGATTATTCGAACATATAAATATCCACATTTACTTGTTTATTTATCTACTCGGTTATCTGTGAACAAATTCTGAATTACCATCACGTCAAGGGCGTTTGTAAGGAAAACCAGGAAAAATAGTTTTTTTTTTGTAAATGAAATTTATGAATACTCAGAATTGTTTTATATATGATTTGATATGCCGTTTACTCCATTTATTTCACAAATCAATGCATACCTACCGAACATTACCTTAAATTCACACACAAAAACATTCACTACTTACAATATTTTGAAACAAAGTTAGTAATCAGTTACTCTGATCATACAACATCCAGAGAAATCTTCAATGTCCAGCATTATAATACCATGAACAAACAAGTCAGTTATTCACCATCAAACTTTCGATCAGTGCACAACCCCCCAAAATTCTTATCAACTGACTTTCTACCAAAGAACACAACATTTTACACATGTACGGGCAAGGTGATACAGTCGGCGCCATTTCACACCTCTTGGGGTTGCAGTTGCAAAAAAATGCTCAGGCACGCATCAAATTACCTTTACACTGTTCAACTCAAGTTTTAGATTTCACCTTCACATTCATTATGGCACCTTCGAATAGTAGTGTTTGGGATTTTCAAATACTTTTATCTGTGGTACTAATTTTTGGCTCGTTGCCATCTTTCTAACAGTCTGCTAACATTCAATTGTAGATGGTTATGGTTCAACAGTACCCATCAAACAATAACTGTTTACTAGTTTCTTTGTCTCAACAATACCAATTTACCAGGAGGGGGCGTTTTTCAGAACTAGGTTGTTCTCACACGACTCGAGTTTCCTTCATTATTTAAAAATGGTAAATTTTTTATGCATCAACATCCTGGATACGAACCAAAAAATTTCAGTTTTCTCTGCTGAATGACGTAAGCAAGTGGTTGAAAGCAACATGTAGTTTACTACATGTACATGAATCAGGTGTGATTTCTACAGGTCATTACCCTATATAAATGGAGTTACGTAACATATGACAACACAAACCATGATGGGGCTGCAAAAACAACACACACCTAGAACTCAACAAATTTGCAGTATTACTTTGTTAAAATATGGAAACTCTGATGCTTATAGTAGTTAATGAACTGTCTGGAGATTCTGTTCTAGTAAATGTCTGTTAACTTCCATTAGCGTCCTTGCAGCTATACAAAATGTTTTTATGACATTGTTGAGCATAACATATAATTTAGCTAACTTTCAGCTGGCCTAAAGCAAATAGGTCTTGCATAAGTAAACACAAGTGAATACTACAATCATACTAACTACCGTTTATGATTCATTTATTTATTAAAGAAGTTTAATTTTGTGAAAAATTGGACTTTCTCAAGCAGAAAGCATAGTGCACTCACAATGTATGGGGGTCAGGAATACAAGGATCATTTAAAGTAAACATTATCAAGTTTAATTTATAAGAACACACCCAATTTATAATACATTTACGCATACAGAAGTCGAGTTTACTACATGCTTTGACACTATATACAAGTACATGCCATGTTGTATAACCTTTACTAGTTTCACTTCCATTCAAAAACTACCTCATTACTAAATAGCAAAGCAATGATTTCCAATAAATCATTCAGATCAAACACAGTTGCATGACATCAGTGTGCCTTCTTTGTAAATCTCAGACCGCAATAACCGCAAGAATGTGCACCCGGTGGATCCTGTATTGAGAAGACAAAAACATAATATTATCATGCTGTCCTGATATTAACTAGTTTTTGTTGAAATGAAAATTTACTAAAGCAGTGTACAAAAATGATCAAATGGAATTACTGTAAAATACTAAATTTTAGCTGGAATTAATTTTAACTTTTTGGGTGTTTTGTAAGGAATTTATTTTCACTGATTTTTGATAAGTTGAATGTAAAATATTGGAAAAAAGGTATCCGTAAAATCTGTATTAGAAGCCGCATCTCTAATAGAAGTCGCACCCATTCTTTTTGAATAATTGAGAACCAAAAAAATCACAATTTCTCATATGCGTAGATGCTCTAATAGAAGCCGCATCCCTTCTGTTGCATTGTACCATTTTAATAGAAGTCGCGGCTTCTAATACAGATTTTACAGTATTTGCTGGGTTTTTAGTTTCACTGAATCATTCCTTCAGCTAAAATTAGTTCCAAGCTAAAATAAAGTATTTTACAGTATTATATTGTGCATTTTGTTGCCTTTAAACCATTTGCATGTTTATTGCGCAAAATACAACAAAAATATTATACTATTTGCTCACTTCTTACTTTACTAGAATTATACTCGAACAGAGAATTAAATCATACACAAACTATATACCAAAGAGCAAAAAAAAAAAGCTTTCAAAACCACCATATATCAAAATTGGCACAGTAATCTGCCTAAATATCTTATATCAGAAACCTAGGTAAATACCCCAAAAGAATAAGACAAATTATTGACAACAATGAAAACGCAAAGCTAGCTGACAGCTGTACCATGGTTTGAGTCCAACAAAGCATATGTTGATTCTAACAAGATAGAGTGGTCTGAGAGCAACAACATGTAAAAAAACTCACCAGATTTATATAGACTTTGGGATGACCAAGAGCACCGCCACCACCATCACAGTAAACATGACGACCAGCAATCACTTTTGGGGGTACATCATCAATTAGATTTATAGCAAACTTCTGATTAACCTACATATATATGATACAACAATAACTAAATGAGTACCGGTATGTGATTTACTGATTCGACGACCACTGCCCTAATGCTTTGTGTTGTGCTCATAAATTAGTATATATAAATATCCTGTTGATGCAAATTATCTTCGTTCCGCTTTGTAAAAATATTTACCCTGCACATATTCTTAGATACTGTTTTATACTTGTGTAGTTTGTTTTTTTCTTGAGTGTGTTTTGAGACATAATTAGATACGTTATTATAACTTACCTCTTTTTGAGCTTGACTGTATCTTACCTGACGGTAATCAGATTTATCAAATACCTACGAGATCAGAGACATAAAATCAATTCATACATGAAGACACTAGCGAGCCGGCATCGGTAAGAGTTCTTTAGGACCCCCCCCCCCCTTACCATAACTCAAACACTAACCCTTCCTCTCCAGTACCCTCCTCCATTTCAACTGTATATACATGTACCAATCCTTGGAGGTGCATATTGATTTATAGTGGGAGGGGATGGAGTGAGGGGACCTCAAGGAACTTTTTCCCGTCCATGGCAGACAGTGAAATTGCGTGGTACAAACATTTTCCAAACTCTAAAATCATGACCACATAACATTTTCAACGTACAAAATTCTGATGGTCTATGGTTAATTTGCGATATTTTAGTATATATGCTGTGTATGGCTAAAATAAAGCCAACATTAAACTACCCTTGTCAACCAAACGTCAAAAGCTCAAAACAAATAAGTGCATGCTACTTTTGAGATAAAAAAAAGACTTGAACAGAGGCTCTTCAAACCTTCAAAATAATCCCCGGTTACAATCATAGTATTAGTAGTGTGCAAATAACATGCCTTTATTCATATATATACTGTTGCACTAACCTGCCCTGTGTGGGTGACAGTGTTGTCTTGAACATAACACCTACTGCATGTAGCTATAGGCCTTGCAATATTTAAAAATTGCCGAGAAATCGACGGACCACGAGAGCAAAACATTCTCACCGACGCCATTTTACTTTCAATGCATTCTGGGATGGATCAAATATTGTAATCTCCCGACAAAGAATTTGGTTGACATTTTATTTATCAGCGATATTTATCAATACCTAATATTTCTATGGAACAACGAATTAAAAATGTGGAGCATGAAATGGTAGCTGTTGAAATTGTTTAATTGCGTTGTGAAATGCAAATCGGACATAATAGTATTTTTTTCAAGTTACTTAGGTGGTCTGGTTGTGTTCATGCAGTGCACGTAAACGTGCTGGTGGACAATGGTTTGATAAATTTAGCTGAAATTCATCTATTTTCTCTAGCTAAAAAGAATTCAGTTGATCGTTTGTGTTCGGTGAGTCAATTTTATCATTTTCGAAGCTAACATTGAGAAGGATTTGTTCACAGCACCATGTTAATTTTGTTTCCCATGCCGTGCCATGAACGACACATGTTTGCTGCCCTCTGCGATGGGATGTTCGTATCCCAGACAATTATTTGATATATTATTCTGCAATATTTTTAACAGAAGGGGCCATTACAGAATTGGGTCTACATTGTCGAAATTGTAGAAACAGTTAAGATTCTTCCAAGAATTTATAAGATAAGGGGATGTAACGTGTTTTTTTTTCTCTCTCAAGGGCAGCATGTACTAATTGAGCTGTTCACACAGTCATCTGATGTACAATTAAGTCATAACAAAATGAAGGCCATAACTAAAAGCCTTCAAAACGGCCAACAAAATGTTTATGGTTTTATGGATTTGTTTCAAATATGCATTGAAACGATAATATTCACTGGTAAAGATGAATTGAAGTTTAAATTTTGGGAAAGAGTTCTTTAGGGCAAACTCGTCCGTAACCCAAACCCTAACAATTCAGCCCCAATGTAATTCAATATGCCCCTCCAAATAACTGTAAATGACCTGAATAGGGGTATATAGAATGGGGGAGAAGCACTGGCATGGCATTGTTAGGATTAGAGTTATGAGTGAGGGGACTATAAGGAACTCTTACTAAATGTTGAACCTCTCTTACTGAACTATGTGTGTAAGAAAAGCATACAACGATACAGTGGCGGATCTAGGGGTCCATGCCCCCCCCCCCCCCAACGCATGACGATACATATCTGGATTATGCATAGCTTCTCTGCGACTTCGCTCCATAATGTTAAGCGAAGCTCCCCCCCCCCCAAATACATTTTGCCACTGCAACGATATAGTATTCAGTTTGTGCATGGAGGTATATGGTTTGTGCTTTCAGAAGCTCATCACAGGCACATACAACCAGGCTGACCCAACAAGGTTTTTGAACTTTCATTCCGACTTAAGATCCCTACAAAATCAGTTCTGTTAGAGAACGCACTGCTAGCTGATGCATGTTTAATGAAGAGGCGTCAAAATGATATTACACTTTCTCCAGGTAGTCTAAGTTCGACAACACTGACATGCATCTCCCAAAAATTATATTTCCATGACTACAGTCGGTAGAGCATGAAATAATGTAAAATATGTACATGTATTAGAAGTCGCAGCTTCTATTAAAATGGTACAATGCAACAGAGTGGATGCGGCATCTATTAGAGCATCAACACATATGAAAAATGATGTTTTTTTGGTTCTCAATTGTTCACAAAAAATGGGTGCGACTTCTATTAGGGATGCAGCTTTTAATACAGATTTTACGGTAGTTGATGTATTGTCATATTTTGACAATTTACTTAAATCTTACTGGCTGGTAACAATTTTCTTTTTATTTTACAGCAAGTTGTCAATAAAAAGATGGTTTCCTTGATCGGGAAATGCAGCATGGTGCTATCAACTCTGCCTCGAAGGTTGTGTATTCCTGTAAATTCAATGTATAAAATAATAAACTCTCCATACAGCCTGTTTCATCGCTATGCACTTTTACCAGTTACACAACAGTCATTAGTTCTACCAGTAAAGCAGCAGAATTCACTGCAAAGAACGCCTACCGTACAACTTGTAAATTCATTCAAATCCAAAGTGAAACTGCGAAAAAGATGCGAAGATTGTTACTTTGTTAAACGAGAAGGACGACGATACGTCATGTGTAAGACTCACCCCAGGCACAAACAGAGAAGTTTAATTGTTGACAACAAACAACCCTATCCAAGGAAGTATCTTACTGACCAAGATTTCTGGTACTAAGATCTTGGGTACTAAGTTTATGTGTACATCATTACCAGACTACATGAGATGGCAACTTGGGATCGATTTTTAAACTTCGAAGTTGAGAAGAAAATTAATTTCAATGTCAAAATTGACCATATATAAATAACATACCAAAGGTCACGAAGGCAAATTCCTTGGGCATCAAGGCAATCGATTTTGATGTCCTTGAATTTTTTATATAAAACAATATTATCAGATATAATTTGTCACCAGAAAGGAATATACATGCTTTGACCACTTATCTAAATATAAATATTTACCCCTTTTGAATGCTATAATGAAACTCTTATGCATTTCAAATAATAATTAAATTTCTTGATCGACATTCAAAATTAATGACTTGTTCAATTGCTTGTTTCGCCTTTTGTTTGTTTTATATGAAAACAATAAAACTGATTTGTTCCTAATTGATAACAATCATTCATAGATAGAATGATTTATTACACTTTGCTCAGCAATAGACTACCCACCAACCTGCTGTCAAGATTAATGTGTTGTGATTGTGTACATGTACAATAAAATTGTTCTCTCTGAGATGTACTTTCCAGTTCTGATTGGATGTCAGTTTTGATTTATTTTTGATTTCTCCTGCTTGGAGAGAACAGCAGCAGTTGTAGTGATTGCTGCGGTACCAGAATCTGTTACTATATTACCGGTATCATCATTTATTCTATTAGTTGTTGCATCTTCCTAGAGTCAGTTGCTCTCAAAGACAAGGGTATATAACCAGTCCTACAAGTTCAGTGAGTATGCGCTTCAGTTCTACATGGGTGAAAGGAGGACCGCTCACAACATCAACATTTTTTTTTTATCGCTAGTCGATTAAAATTATGTATTGATTTACTGTATTCTAAATGACAACAAACTGCACAAATAGCAGGACCACTCACCCAAATAAAGATACAGAAGGGCTAATCCTTACCTTCCCAATCCATATCATTTTGCAGAGATTTAATAGCATAGCTCTCATAATCACTCGTGTGAGAGACATTTTAAGCTGCCAGGACATTTTCAAAAGGCAAGGCATGAAACAAACATTTGTCACTTTGAAACGTCGTTGCTTTCATCCAGCTACTTAAGGTCGTAAAGGTGCTTCATTACAATTGAGAGTTTAGGAAAGATGTTTAGTGCATATTAGTTTAATTCATTCATATTTCTTGATCTAATTCTTTTCATCTCTGTGCCCAATTTAAAATATTGAAAGTGGTCCCAAAAGACTATTGTGCGGCGACGAGGATATATCACTGAACAAATTGGCGAAAATATTATCTTTCGGTGAGAATCTAGTGGCATGCTGCATTATCTTCAAATTACAATATTTTCACAATTCACCTATAACAGTTGGTGAATAGTAGAAATGTTGTAATCCACCTTAGGGTAAATGATGCGGCGCCTCGTACTAATACAGTTTGATATTGTACATCTGCGTTTTGCAATCACAGATTATCCCTTACTGTAAGAAGTCTTGTGTCTACAATTATTATTCAATATTAAACAGGTTAGCTTCTATCGAGGACTTGTCTAAAGTTAAGATAGAGATACAATCACTTTAGAGAATTTTTTCAGGTTATCATTTTCTGTGATTGAGGGTTATGAGTTGGTGTTTGAATTGGACTGACGAAGACAAAATGACCCTACCTATTGCCATTTTGGATTGACGACAAAATATCCCTAACTACGCATATTTTGAACTCGTTTCACGTATAAAAATGAATTTGTTGGCTTCATTTGATGACTAGATTACAACAAACTTGGTCATGTCTACATTAAATTCATAATTGTGATAGAAATTAAATGAAAATCCTGAGTATTTTGGTACTTAATTTACCTTAGAAACTCTTTTTTTTTTTTCCTTTGGCCTTCATTATGAACCTTGGTTGTGTTTTTCAATCAATTTTCGCTCAGTAAAAAATCCAAAATTTGTAAAGTTTGTAAATGTGTATTCATCATTACTTGTATAGTAAAAAATACTATAATGTGGCAGTATATAAAATCTTGTGTTTAAAATTAATACAATAAATATTTTATGTTTTATTTTATTAGGCATAAACATGTAATAATGCTGACAATAAATAACAATAAAAAAGTATATTAATAATAAATAATCTTCATACATTAAAAAAAAAAATCTGTTCATGCAATGAGCAGTTCCATAATATACTAAATTTGGCCTTCAATTCATTCAGAATATATTGTTCCTTTAAATCTAGGAACAAGCAGGAGTCTGTCTATTTTGGGTGCTTATCAGTAATTCCTATCATTTTGGGTACAAAATATGCATAAAAATATTATTTTAATATAGAGTATTGTTTTACCAAAATGGCAGTGAGGTAGAAGCCAGCTACATACATATGTGGACTAATATCTCATGGCATACATTCCTTTATAGTGTTCCACGTTTCCAAGACAATTTCAGCCTGAGGGATTAGAGTGTATTTCAATTACTGAACTTCATTCAGGATGTATTTAATCTATGTATATAATACATGGAGACGTGAAAAAATATCAATTTTTGGGAAGATACGTGTAGATGCATGTGGGAATGTAAGAAGTTACGTACATTGCCATAAACAGATGCAAAACAAGAATGTGTTAAGTACAGCAAAGAATAACAAAACTAAAGTGTGAACTTCAATTTGAGGAAGATGAAAGCTACAGTTATTACAAAAATACGAGTTCATTCTAAAGTAGACAATGTAAATGAACAAATCTATGTCACTTTATGCATTTCCAAATGTTTTATATATTCCACTTCATTTGTTGCCCACAACAGATTTAAATTTGCACATGCTCCAATCTTCCAGCTGACACAAACAAACAACAGTAACAA